CTCCATGGGGCGCTCAAAGGCTAACCTATCACCCTTCCCCGGGGTACTCATCGGAAAAGGCACACGTCCCCGGGGCATTCATCGGAGAAAGCACCCATCCCCGGGGCATTCATCGGAACAACCAAACCTCCCTGGGGCGTTCATCTAAACTAACCCAAAAAAAAACCACCAGACACGGCGGAACGCGCGTCTCTCCTCGGGGCATTCATCGCGCCCCGACCACAGACCCTAATTAAACAGCAGAAATAAAAGGAGAAAAGAGGGGAACTCACTTGTGACGGCGGCGAACGGGAGGAAGAACTAACGGCGCGACGACGATTCACAACAACGGCGGACGGGAGGAATCTCAGAGTTTCACAGGTAAGACAGCAAGATAAGTGAAAAATGAGCGGGGACCCCCACATTTATAACCCGACGCGGGAATCAAAGCGACACTAGGCTTTTGAGTGTCCTAGGGTTGCCGCCTACTACCCACTCGGCGTACGACACGTGGCGTAACCTGACGGTCGCGCCCCTTCATATGCCTTCGGCCCGCTCTCCCGACGACCAGAAGGCCTCCGCGCGTGCCTGCATCCCCCCGGACATAGGATCGACGGGCCACCCGCCTCGCCACCTCTTTTCCCGAAGTAACGACCTTAAGTCCTCGCTCTTCCGCCACATAGCTTCGACTTGGGGGGCTCCTGTTCTGGCCTGGGCCCAGACTCGCGGTCCAGCCCAATAACGCACAAGGCCCAAATAGGGTAATAGCTTGACCGGGCACACTCCCAATTAGGACGGGCGGGACACGCTCTCCGCCAAGCGGAGCGACACACCTCGAAGCGTCCTCAGCGCCCCCAGTTGGCCGAACGGAGGGCCCTCTGCGGACGACACTCTCCGTGCCATCGGGCAAGAACCCTTGGTTCCCCAACGTCCTCGCGCGCACCCCTCCGCGGGCAGAACTCGCTCCCCTGTCGGACAGGACTCGCTCCTCTGTCGGGCAGGACTACGTGTCCTTCGCACGTTCTCCACGTGTTCCCCTCCGCGAGGACACGTCACCAACCAACTGCCCACCTCCGAAAGAGCAGGTCAAACCCACTTTCCGGAGATCAAGGAGCAGTTGGACTAGGGCGAAGACCACGTCCTGGTCTTCACTACGCCACGTAAGCCCTAGCAGTCACCTGGGTTGGGCCTGGCAATCCAGCCCAACGCAAGTGACCGTTGGCCCAGCGCTGAGGTCTCCTTATAAATACCCTCTTCCTCAAGAGGGTCAGGTAACACACTTATTACCCCTTTTATGTACTTTGCTCTCACTCTGCCCAATTCCTTACTTTGGCATCAGAGTGTCTTGCAGGTACACCCCTTTTTTCTCCTCACCACCGGTAAACAGGCAGTCGTCCAGCAGCGTGTGGCCAGCCCGTGATCCCCTTCTGATCAGGTCAGATCATAATTAATCAATCATTAATCAATTATTTTTATAACATAATATTGCTTAAATGTTTGAATGATTTTATTTACAATACTACTCCCAATTAAAAGTATGTTATGTTCCCAATTATTTTTCATTTGTATTAGCTCTGTCATTTATATATACTATTAATATATTTAAAATAATGCTAGCTCTGTCATTTACATTATATAAATTATATAATTAATATAATTAAATACCATAAATAAATACCAGATTTTAATTAAAGCTCCGTTCCAATAATTTATTTATGGTATTTAATTAAAAAATAAAAATAAAAAATTTCACACTTCACACGCTCGTCCAACCATTGGACGAGCTCACAAAATCCAATATGCTTTTCACAGGTTCGCCCATTGGTTGGACGAGCTTCAACTCCAAAAATTTTATCTACACTCTCTCGTTCACCGAATGGACGAGCTTCTATAGAAAAGAGTTACTTCTGTACATAATTTTAAAAATAGGGTATTATGGTATTTTTTTTTTCTTCAAATGGGGTATAACAGCGAAAAAACCCTACTTGTGAACACCTCTTAATAAACTATTGTTCAATTCACTTAGTGCAGGGTTTATAAACCAAAATTTGTATAGCTTACGTTAGTAATAAAAAATTTGCATTATAGTAGAGCTGACATGACATTTAAGTGAACTAAAATTTAATTTCTATTATCTATATAGTTAACGTTAACTATGTGAAATATATTATAATATTATTTATTTAATTAATAAAATATTCCAACAACATTAAAATAATTGCATGGTATTTGAAAATAGTGGGGTCAAGTTTTGGTTTCTTATAGACAACCATGGTTAAAGTAAAAACTATTCAAATCATCTATAAATTTTTTAAATCCTACGAACTCACCTCAGCTCGGCTCGACTCATTAAGAATTTTTCGAGTTCGAGTTCGAGTTCGAGTTCAACACGAACTTTTTTTTAAGCTCAAACTCGACTCGTTATGAATTGTTTCGAGTTCGAGTTCGAGTTCGAGTTCAACACGAACTTTTTTTTAAGTTCAAACTCGACTTGTTATAAGTTCACGAACAGTTTGGTTCAACTCATTAGGATCAGCTCACATGATTCACGGGCTTAAAAACTATTTTTTTTAATATATATATATTTTAGTATATTTGACATTTTAAATAAATATATTTTTTTTAAAATAAAATATTAAAATAAAATAAAAATTATCATATTGAAATTTAACTTTATCTTCGAAATCTACTAATTCAAAACTTACACAACTTTCAAGAGATACATTTGAGAGTCTAATTCAAAAACTACTAAGTTGAAGATTAAATTTGTCTAAGATTTAGATTAAATATTTAAACCTAATCTTAAAGACAGTATAATTATTCTCATATGTAATCGAGTTAACTCATGAAGCTAACGAGTCGAACTATGTAGAGTTCAAGTTCAGCTCATTTAGTTAACGAACTTAATTTTTCGCTCATACTCAACTCATTAGGTTCATGAACCTAGTTCAACGATCTAATTGTCGAATCGAATTTCGAACTATTTCGAGTTGGTTCGGTTCATTGCCAGCCCTATACAAAACACTTTAAGTCCACAAAAATATCTTCAAAAGGTGAATTACATTGGAAACCTGATGAATAAAACGATAAAAGCACATATATCGAAATTGCACTTTTAGGAAAACAGGACCAGTTGCTCTCAGCTTTTGGAATACGCTCTGTTTCCAACACTTTCATAGACAGTTGCCTTGAGATTTCAATGCCCAATTCTATGGTTATTGCAATTCGGATTGCTCACTCTCTGAACTCCCATCCTTTAAAAGAGTACCACTTTCATGGAGAATGCGACGTGGATCGTGAGGTTTCATCTGAATCTTTCCATAATCATCTTGTAGGATTGGTGTCGATGAACAATGAGACCCCAGATGCAACCAGATGGATAAACTTTACCAAGACATCAGAACCAACATAATACCAGATGCCCAAGGTTCCTATTACCACCTCTACGCCATTTGCATTAGTATCCAAAGGTATAAACGCCAACAAGCTCACTTCTAGAAACAGCATCCCAGAACACGCAAACAAGGTCAACGATTTCCCAACGAAGTCTTTCCCAGCTGAGCGGAAATAGACAACAATGATAAATCCAAATCCCATCATCATGATTGGAGTTGAGTAGTTCTCGAATTAGTTACAGCCTATAACATTCTGTAATTTGCACGCCAGGTGCTTGGTGAAATGCTTCAACCAAGCTTTTCCTTCCTTTTGTCTTGTTTTGGTTCTGTTTAGGGACTATTTTGGATTGCGAATCAATTCCTCCAATGGTTATGATTTTTTAGTCAGATATTGGTGCGGTATTGGTATAGTAACGAATTTTTGGCAGTTTCTTGTGGTTCATGGTGAGTTAATTATGAAGGTTGAAATTGGTGATGAAAGAGGTCAAGTTTGGTATTGGATAGATGTTGAATTTTTATGGTTTGTGTTCATGGCAATGTTTGGATTCTCACGGTAATCCTCCATTCAAGATGAAAAGTAAGGCAAATACAAGCATGCAAAGATAAATCAAACAAACAAGTCAGCATAGAAGTCACAAGCAAGCAAGCATTCATGGAATGATAATGATAAATAGAGTTTGAGGCTTACCCATTGGAAACCCTTCGATGGTTCTTCTGATAATGATAAATAGAGTTTGAGGCTTACCCATCGGAAACCCTTCGATGGTTCTTCTATGGCGGTGCAAATTCAATCCGGTAAGCAATTCTTTGCGTTCACTTGTTACTTCATCCGATACAATCCTTATTCATTTCTTCTTCATCCCCTTTCTTTTTTTTCAGTTTTTTTGTTGTTGTTGTTGTTGATTCTTTTGATGCTTGAATCATGAAAAACTAGGATGTGAAGTGTGGTGGAGATTTATGCTCAAGTTGATTGAAGTTTCAATGTGAAGCTTCAACATGGATTTGAGCTTTAGTGAGGGAATGTTGGAGAAT